AGGGACAGTATTTTCACAAGTACTGTCTTGATCTTCCCAGTATGCTTATGAGGTAGGTAGGTCTTATTGTGTCCATTTTGTGTTTCTTCAACTCCAGGGTTGGATTGTGCTTTGCTACTGATTAATTCCGGAACCTTGAGCAAAACCTATGAACTTTCTGGGCCCCGCTTTCCCCATCTTCACTATAATGGGGATGGGTGTTCAGTAAGGATACACTAGAATTTCTTTGATCTGTTTTGAAAAAACCACACATGGTTCTTAAAACTTTTATTACCCAATAATATACACATAAAAAATTTTTTGTAGTAAAGATGTGAACAAAAAAAAAAAAAAAAAAAGATGTGAACAGTTGTGTGTCCTACACACAATTGAAAGATGACAAGCCATTGGAAGACTACTTGAAACTCTGGAATCTGCTATGGCCAGGGAGTGAGTTGCTGTGTTGATAATTTAGCCTGATTATATTTTGATCGTAAATAGATCACCAATTCTTAAAAAGCTGGTATTGCCGGCCCTCCTTCCTTCCTTCTTCCTTTCTTCCTTCCATTTGTCAAAAAGCCATTAGGCACGTCTCAGCAAGGAGACCTACCAGGGCAAATAAGCAAACATATTGAAGGTAACAGGAGTCGGACTTCTGACTATGGGAGAACAGTTACAGATATAAAAAAGGGGAGAGCTAGAATGAACCCTGTATTGTGGGTAGGAATTTAAGGTTTCATTGTGAATGTGTGGATTCTGATATGTAGAAATTTTATAGATATAGAAATTTCAGTGTAGAAATATTATAAACATTAAAGTGTATGCATGTCTATGAATAAATGCACACACACACACCCACACACACCCACACCTCACACCCCACACCCATTTCCTAACTCTGTTCACTGAAAGGGCCAGGATGCAGTGACAACCCAGTAAATATGAGCACATCTGCTACCCAGATTGTAGTTTCTAAATTCCAGTTTTTGCTTAAAGCAACTATGGGTCTTTGAAAAAAATGTCTGATTCTAGAGCTGGGAAAGAAAAGGTACAAGATGAATGCTGAATGTCTTGTGACAGAAGATACAGAAACTCTGAAAGAATATTGGGAGACGCCACAAGAACGCAGCAGTCAGCTTGAAGGGATTCTCACTAAACCCATGTGAAACCTGGAACAATTTGAGCACCAAAATGACAATGATAGTTACAGATTATATCCCACTACACAAGAAATACATGAATCCACACTTGCATAAATAAATAAATGCATGAAAATGTGGTGAGAGGAGAAAGTTCTTCCTTAAAATAGAACATTGTCTGATATATAGAAGGAATTCTGGAATTGGAGAGATTACTATTTGGCAGTCATCATAGTAATAATTAATCCAGGTAAGAAACATCAACGGATGTTAACAATAGTGAATACAGGTTGGATGAGGATCAGAATCTTTATATAACCGTAGTGAATACAAGTTGGATGAGGATGAGAGTCTTTATGTAACCATAAAGTATCTGTCCACAAATCCTTATGCATTTTAAGGGGAAACACAGGAGCTTTACTGGAGAAACTTGGAAGACACAACCTTACTCAAGTGATCAGAGATCTCATCAGCAGTGGTGGGACACACAGTGTTCTGTGCCACTTGATGGGATGCAATGAGAAGAACATAGCATCTCTTCCAAACAATGCAATCTTCAGATCTTTTCATGAGAACATATCTCTAACCCCAGTTCAGGGGCATTTTACAAATTAATTCACCTGCTGCCTTCCATAATATAAAGGTCGTGAAAGTCAAGGATACTATTCCAGATCAAAAGAGACAGAAGAGCGATGACAACTAAATAGAAAGTGTGATCCTGAAATGGATCCTTTGACTAGAAAGAGCATTACTGGGAAAGTTGGCCTAACTCGAATTGGGGTCTCCCGGTGAAGGATACATGAGAGTTCTTTGAACAACTCCTACAACATTTCTGCAAGCTTGAAATTCTTTTGACACAAAAAGTAAGACATACTTTGTACAGGAAATCTGAGCTTTTAGTTTTTACTTTATTTTACAAAGTTAAAAGGAATAGTTTCTGAATTCTTTTTTATTTTGGATTTTTGTAAGAATCTTACAGGGTATAATTATTAGACTCTTAGTTCTGAATTTCTGTGGTGGTTGTGCAGAGAAGAATATAGTTCTATGAGATAGGGACTTTTCTGGATGTGTGATATCATTTGTGTAATTACGGAAATTCATTCATATTTGACTGGGAAAATAGTTAGAACCTTGGAGTGTCTTAAGGCCATTGTTGAGATATTTATGAGGCATTTTAGATTAATGGGATTATGAGTTGGTGTTCTGGAGTCATGTTTCCTGAGCTCAAATCCTGTGCCCACCACTTACCAGTGTGTGACTTTGAACAAGTGAACTAACCTGTTTCTTGTGTCATCTATAAAATGTAGGTAACAATAGCACCTATCTCGTGTGGCTATTGTGCAGACCATCTGATTAATACTAGTAGAGTGCTGAGAAGAGTACTGGCTTAGAGAAAATGCTGTGTTGTTGTTATTATTATCATCATTATATATTATTGCTGCTGCTGCTGTTACTGTTATAATATGGGTGTAATTTGTGTAGCACAGGGAGGGGAACATCACACACTGGGGACTGTTGGGGAATGGGGGGAAAGGGGAGGGAGAACATTAGGACAAATACCTAATGCATGCAGGGCTTAAAACCTAGGTGACAGGCCAGGCACAGTGGCTCATGCCTGTAATTCCAGCACTTTGGGAGGTGGGTGGATCACGAGGTCAGGCGTTTGAGACCAGCCTGGCCAACATAGTGAAACCCCATCGCTACTAAAAATACAAAAAATTAACCGAGTATGATGGCGGGCCCCTGTAATCCCAGCTACTTGGGAGGCTGAGGCAAGAGAATTGCTTGAACCCGGGAGGCAGAGGTTGCAGTCAGCTGAGACTGCACCACTGCACTGCAGCTCGGGTGACAGTGCGAGACTATCTCAAAACAAAAAACAAAAAACTCTAGATGATGGGTTGATGGGTGCAGCAAACCACCATAGCACATGTATAACTATGTAACAAACCTGCACGTTCAGCACATGTATCCCAGAACTTAAAGTAAAATTAAAAAAAAAAAAGAAAAAAATTAATAAAGGACATTTCTGAAGCAAAAAATAAAAAAAACCAAAAATAATTGTGTAGCAAAGGCTAGAGAAACGAGCTAAAAGAAATTTCATATGGCAATTTGTTGGAAGTTTGATCCCTCCTCACACTCTGATGGTAGAAAGGCCGTAATGCCATTGATTTTGGATACTAACACCGTGTACTGATCCTTTAAGATGCTTTCTTATTTGCAAAGCCAGCTGCCACACCCAAGCACACTTTAGAGTTTCTTTACCCTTTATTCAGGGAAAAGCACACATTTTAAATGTTCAAGAAGAACAGCAGAAACAAGACAGGATCAAAGCAAAATACAAAGAAAACAAGATTGGAGAATCAGAGAATCAAGATCCAAGGAAAAATGTTTACTTTGGCAGAAATACCTAGAAAATATAGTGACTGCAGGCCTTGTTTCAAGTTCACATATTGAATCTTAACATGTTTACTTATTTGCAAGTGTAAGTAAATGTATGCAGCACACTGAGTTAGCAAACATGGAATATCCCTGAAGGAGGGAGATATACTGCTCATCAGTTGTCCACAGTGCACCCTGCATCCTACCACTTGCTCCGGGCTCTCCAGCCTGTTCCTTTTCCTGAAAGGGCTTCCAGTCAAGCTCATGATCTATTATTATATATGATACTTAGAGAATATTGAGCATTATGCCTTTTTATTTCTTTATGCTTTGTTTCTAAAAGGGTTCAAAGGAACAAATTTAATTGTCTGTTATCCTAAGAAATGCTTAATTGTCCAGAATAGATCTTCATTAACAAAGTATAAAGTGAAAGAAGAGACCAATTGGCAAAGAGAGAGAAGATAGAGATTTCGACTAAAGCCTAGAAGAATAGGTAATGAATGACTACTCAGAAAGAAAGAATGGAGGAGGTCAAGGGTTTCACAGTGTATGCTTTCTTTTTTAGAACTATAAGCATGTTTCTGGTCATCTAGCCCAAAAGCCTAAGTTTTTTAGGCATAGGAGAGTTTCAGATATATTGTGAACACATAGCCCATTGCTTGGTCCTCTGTCTGAAATACCCAGGTTGTCTCCCCTTGATTCAGTCTCTTGTCACTATCTCACCCTGACTATGGTATTTTGAATTTTAGATGATATACATATTTTGAGAAGCACTAGCAATCAAGTGGGAATAAACCATCTAGGATTCCTCATACCATCTAAGTTTTAAAACTCTTTGCTAGAGTATGTGGAGCTATGTCAAGACAGTGTGTTAAGGTTGTTCTGTGATTGAGAACTCAGAACCTAGAGCCAGAATCCTTGGGTACAAATCGTGACTGTCATTTGCTAGCTGTGTTCCATTTTCTTCATCTGCAAAATGACATCAATGATAAGAAACAAATATGGGCCAAGCACGGTGTCTCATGCTTGTAATCCCTGCACTTTGGCAGGCCGAGGCGGGCAGATCACTTGAGGTCAGGAGTTTGAGACTAGCCTGACCAACATGGCAAAACCCTCTCTCTATTAAAAATACAAAAATTAACTGGGCATGGTGGTGCATGCCTGTAGTCCCAGCTACTCAGGAGGCTGAGACAGGAGAATCACTTGAATCCGGGAGAAGGAGGTTGCAGTGAGCAGAGGTCATACCACTGCACTGCAGCCTGGGCCAGAGAGCGAGACTTCGTCTCAGAAAAAAAAAAAAGAAACAAATGTGGTTACATGGGAAAAAATACCAGCAATATAGGAAGCTTTCAAAAAATGTTAACTGGTATGTATTTGCCTAATGAGTAGAAATAAAAAACTTTAGTACTATTTGGAGACTTGGTATGTTTACATGATTCAGTAATAACTATGCAATATCTCTCCTTCATACAAAGTTCTAATAAATCATTGCTTTTTCTGTAGGTAAAATCTGCTGGTGGAGTCACTCCATTATTCTTATCTGTGGAGATCTAGATCTTGATTTGAAAGTTTCTGAGAAAATCTTCAGCTCAGACTTGAGGTCAGCTTTACCAACTGAAGGTAAAAGCTAATTTTATTCATTTAAGTATGAATTGCTCATTACTAACACATAGAAAATAAAGATCATTAACATGTCTTATTAACTAGAACATATCAAATAGAATCCTGGTTTCTTGATGTTGAAAAAATTATGAAATACTAATAGAAACAGAGAAAAATGGCCAGGCATGGTGGCACACACCTGTAATCCCAGCACTTTGGGAGGCCAAGGTGGGTGGATTATCTGAGGTCAGGAGTTCGAGACCAGCCTGGCCAACGTGGTGAAACCCTGTATCTACTAAAAAATACAAAAATTAGCCAGGTGTGGTGGCAGGTGCCTTAATCCCAGCTACTTGGGAGGTAGAGGCAGGAGAATTGTTTGAACCCAGGAGGTGGAGGTTGCAGTGAGCCGAGATCAAGCCATTGCACTCAAGCCTTGGGAACAAGAACGAGACTTCTTTCAAAAAAGAAAAAAGAGAAAAATAAGATAAAATGAGTAAGGAGAAAAGCTTATTTCCTGTTATGGTTATGGAAAGCTTTATAATAAGCATCATCAAATCCATTTTTTTTAAATTTTATTTTTTGGAGACAGGGTCTCACTCTGATACTCAGGCTGCAATGCAGTGACACGATCCTAGCTCACCACAGCCTTAAACTCCTAGGCTCTAGTGACCCTCCCGCCTCAGCCTCTCAAGTAGCTGGGATTGCAGGAACATGCCGCCACATCGAGCTAAGTTGTTTTCATTTTTTAAAAACTAGAGACAGGGTTCTCAGCCTGTTGTCCAGACTGGTCTCAAGCTCCTGCCTCAATCTCCCAAATTGCTGGGATTACGGGTATGAACCACCACACCTGGCCTCATATCCATTTTTTATATCTACAGTACCCAGTTGTTGAAATAATCTTAAAATTTTGGGAAAACAAATAAACTAAGAAACAACCTGCTGCAGGACTGGAGCAGTTGGTGAACAGAATAAGAGAGTATTGAAAAAGATGCAAATTTTTCTGTAAAAACCAGCAGGTGGTAAGCCTGCTGCCCGCAGCCAGGAGACTGGACAGTGGAGAAAACCTCTTCTGAGATGCTCCTATTCATTTTATGGTTAAGTAAATTATTTAACACTGTTAAACATGGATGTTGTTGTTGTTTTTAAATGGGGGGCAACTTCCAATAACTGGCTTATTTTCTCATCAGTCTGTGTCTCCTGTTCTTCAGAGGTTGTTCTTAACATCCTGCATTCACCTCGAATTTCCTACCCCTCCACGTTGCCAGTTACTGCCAGTCAGAAAAGAAGCTTTAGATGTCAACTCCCTCAAATTTTGCCTCTAGGCCTGCACAATTAACCTGTACTCACTTTCAGTGCTTTGTCACTAGTGAAAGGCAAACCACATCCCAGTCCCACTTAGCTCCTTCTTCTGCTCTGGAACCACCTCCTTCTCCCTGCTCCAGAACCACCTCCTTCTTCCTGCTCCGAAACTGCAGAAACCCACCTCCTTCCTCCGGCTTCGGAACCACCTCCTTCTTCCTGTTCTGCAGCCTGCCTCCTCCTTCCTGCTCTGGAAACTGCCTTCTCCTCCTTCCTGCTCAGAAACTTCCAAAACCCACCTCCACGTTCCTGCTCTGGAACCACCTCCCTTTTCTTGCTCTGGAACCTGCCTTCTCCTCCTTCCTGCACTGGGGTCTGCCTCCTCCTTCCTGCTGTGGAACCTGCCTTCTCCTTCATCTTGCTCTGGGATCTGCCGCCTCCTTCCTGCTCTGGAATCTGCTTTCTCCTCCTTCCTGCCCTGGAACCTGGCTCCTCCTTCATCTTGCCCTGGAACCTGCCTCCTGCCTCCTCCTTCATCTTGCCCTGGAACCTGCCTCCTCCTTCCTGCTCTGGAACCTGCTACTCCTTCTTCCTGCTCTGGAAGTGCCAAAACTCACCTCCGTATTACTGTTCTGGAGCCACCTACTTCTTCCTGACCTGGAATCTGCCTCCTCCTTCTGGCACTGGGATCTGCCTCCTCCTTCCTGCTCTGAAAACTGCCTCCTCTTTCTTCCTTCTTCCTGCCCTGGACCCTGCCTCCTCCTTCCTGAGCTGGGAACTGCCTTCTTCCTCCTGCTCTGAGATTGCCAAAACCCATCTTCACGTTTCTGCTCTGGAACCAACTCCCTCTTCTTGCTCTGGAACCTGCCTCCTCTTTTCTGCTCTGGAACCTGTCTTCTCCTTCCTGCTCTGAGATCTACCTCCTCCTCCTTCCTGCACTGGGATCTGCCTGCTCCTTCCTGCTTTGGAAACTACCTCCTACCTGCTCTGGAACCTGCCTCCTCTACTACTCTGGGATCTGCCTCCTCCTTCCTACTCTGGAACCAACTCCGTCTTCTTGCTCTGGAGCTTGTCTCCTCCTTCCTCCCATCCAAGTACTAACCAGGCCTGACCCTGCTTAGCTTCTGAGATCGGATGAGATCGGGTGTGTTCAGGGTGGTATGGCCATAGACAGTCTCCTTCTCCTCCTTCCTCCTCTGGAACCTACCTCTTCCTCACTGCTCTGGTACCTGTCTCCTCTTTACCACTCTGGGATCTGCCTCCTCCTTCTTGCTCTGGAATCCGCCTCCTCCGTTCTGCTCTGGAACCCACCTCCTCTTTACTGCTCTGGGATCTGCCTCCTTCTTTCTGCTTTAGAACCCGCCTCCTCTTTCCTGTGCTGAAACCTACCTCCTCCTTCCTGCTCTGGGACCCGCCACCTCCTTCCTACTCTGGGATCTGCCTCCTCCTTCCTGCTCTGGAACCTGCCTCCTCTTTACTACTCTGGAATCTGCCTTCTCCTTTCGGTTCTGGAACCTGCCTCCTCCTTCCTACTCTGGAACCTGCCTCCT